TCCGTGTCGCATCCCGATGCCAGTTTTTAGGGCGGGCCGGGCGTTTCGCCTGACTTCCTCACCATGTATGACCCTGAACCTTAAAAACTGATAACAGTCCCACGGACGGAGGGCCGGTGGTTTTCAAAATGTGGCTCTCGCCTTAGCGCCGCGCACATTCGTTATAAACATGTGCAGGAGGTTCACGGATTGAGGGCGGGTCGTTTTCAAAATTGGCTCTCGCCTCGGCGCCGCGCACATTCGTTATAAAATTTGCCAGAGCTTCACGGATTGAGGGCGATTCCTTTTCAAAATGTGGCTCTCGCCTTGGCGCCGCGCACATTCGTTATGAAACATTGCAAGAGTTTCGCGGATTGAGGGCAGGTCGTTTTCGAAATGTGGCTCTCGCCTTAGCGCCGCGCACATTCGGTGTACAATGTTGCAAGAGCTTCACGGATTGAGGGCGGTTCCTTTCCAAAATGTGGCTATCGCCTTAGCGCCGCGCGCATTCGTTATAAAACAGTGCGGAGTTCTCACGGATTCCCATGATCAGCGTACCAGAAACGGTGTTTGGGAAAGATTCAGGATTATGCGGGCGCAACAATTATGTTGATCCGCGGTGTCGAAGTCCCAAACATGACGTTCTGGCGCGATTGCGGATCGTCAAGTCGCAGCAGTCAGATTGATACGTGGCGTTGGAATCTCGAAAACAACGCTTTGGCACAATTCAAGCGGTTGTCTTCCAACGAGGCAGTTCCCTCAATGGAAATGAACCGTTCTAGGGGATTCTGAAGAGGGAGCTTGGAGGGAGGGCTAATTCCAACATCGTTGGTGACTCTTGGGTTTGCACTGGTCCTCCTCCTCCTCCTCCTCCTCCTCCTCCTCCTCCTCCTCCGCCTCCTGCTCCTCCTCTTCCTCCTGCTCCTCCTCCTGCCTGCTCCTCATCCAATTCCTCCTGCATCCTCCGCCGCTTGGGGTATTACGTCTTTCCCAGCCCTTTAGTCCACTGCATGCTCCTCCACATCCCCGACTAGGGCAACTCTCCTGGGCATCTTTTCTGGATGGGCTGGTGGGGTTACGCGAAACGTCTAGAACTTCTGTTCGTTTGCGATCCTGTCCGTTTCTGCTCCTGTCTGGGCCACGATGGCTACATCGGGCCAGAAGGACATCCGACCTCCCCTGGAAAGATGTTGACTAACGGCGCGTCTAAATGTTCAAATCAACCCTGGACCGAAGTGCTGTATAGTGCCTGCTGATTGCAGAGTGCCGCAAACCATGAATTGGGCGCAGAGCGCGACAAGCCTGGCGACACGACAATGACCAACGACGCGCTGGTGAAACAAGGATCTTTTCGCCGCCTTCCGCGGAGTCCAGGCGGGCTCCGACCTCGTCCACTCCAGCGACGAGCGTCTCCCAAATGCTGGCACCCGCCGCGCGGCGACCTGTGGGAGAAGAGAAAGATATCAGCACAGTTGAACTACAAAAAGGAACGTAAAATAAGGAACAAACCCTCGTTTTGATTCCAAATGCGTTCGGGTACACGAGAAGCGCTGGAGAAACCACCATGGCAGGACCGAAGAAACAGCGAACCCTTTCCTGGACCCGGGCCGTTCATCAGGTCGGCGTGCCGCCCGTGCCGCTTCTCCGCGGATCTCCCCCCCCTCGTGCGCGTTCTGACCACGACTCGGAGTGCGAATGCAGCCCGTTGCCACGAGGGCCCCCTCCCCTCGGGAGCGCGACCGCGAGGGACGGGCCTCGGATCGGTGCTGGCCATGACCTTCCCCCCCCAGGATATCCACCCGGTGCGCCGACGGATCGGGGGAGGGGGGCCAAGGAGGGTGAGGGGGTCAGCGCACCAGGGCCCGGGGCACGCGCGCGGACGAGGGGGGGGGGGGGCAGGCAGCACAGGGAGAGAAGAGGAGGAGGCCTTGCAATCTAGGAGGTGCTCATGGCCCTGGCCATGAAAACCTCCCCCCCTTATAGGAGGGTAGAACATCCACCCAGAGAAGAACCACCCCGAGAAGCGAGGCCGTTTAGTAAACGCACCCAAGGAAGAAATCTAACAGGGCAAGGCTGTTTAGTAAACGCACAAGGTCGTTTAGTAAACGACAACTATCGGGTCCGGGTGGTTGTTCCTCCCTTAACCATAATCCCCGCCGACATCCTCTTCGATGCCTTGCGGCTGTTGGGTCACAGCCCAGGCCTCCAAAGGCCGCCCAGGACGAGTCGCGAAACCTTGGATCGCTCTCAGCGAGGCGCAGCTGCTAGAAGGCACTCCGAGGCGAGAAAACTTCCACGAACCGACAGCAACGCCCGAGACCACCTCTTGGACACCCATCTTAGACGCCTGCCCGCAGTCCCGCACCCACCCCCAATTCCCAGACCCCCGATGTTGCGACTCGCATTTCGCAACGTGGACCCCCAGAGGTCACGACCCATTCCCTGGGACTGTCTTTTGGACATCCCCGGAACCCTGAAAAGGCCCACAGAGAACGGAAACGGCCAAAAACCTCCCGTCGCCATTTGTAGCGCAACGCGAGGATGCCAAGGCCGCAAGGCGATACCAACGCGAGAATGCCGTCGCGATCTGCTGCGCCACGCGAGGATGCCAAGGTCGTTGGCTGGAGCCCCGTGCGGCCATGCGCGAGGCGACGGCGCGGCGCCCAACGCGGCCACGGCAGCCAGGCCCGCCACCCGCGGGGGGCGCCCAAGCGCCCTTGGTGCCCTGGCTCCTCCACGGCTCGGACGAGGTTTCCTTTTCCTCCTCCTTCTCCTCCGCTTTTTGTTCTCCTCTCCCCGTCCATTCTTTTTTATGAATAACTCCTCCCTGTCGCACTCCGAAGCCTGTTTTGAGGGCGGGCCGGGCGCTTCGCCGGAAAACTCCTCACCAATAACAGCCCTTACGCTTGAAATGCGCAGTAACTTCACGTGTGCGAGGCGGGTCGCTTGCAAAACAAATTCTCGCAGTCGCGCCGCGCACACTCGTCTGAAAAAGCTGCAACAATCTCACGGATTCAGGGCAGGCGGTTTTCAAAATGTGGTTTTCGCCGTAGCCTCGCGTACATTGATTTTGACAAATTGCAAGAGTTTCAAGAATGGAGGGCGGCCCGCTTTCAGAATGAAGCTCTCACCTCAGTTCTGCGCATATTCGTCTTGAGCTGGCGCAACAGCTTCGCAACGTGGTCTCGCCTTAGCGCCGCACACATTCAATTCAATATTCTACAGCAGATTCAAGGATGCTCATGATAAGCGTCCCATACGTGGCGTTGTTGGACCGATGTGAGACGGCCAAGGCACAACAAGTACGTTGATACGCGGTGCTGAAGTCCCAAGAATGATATTTTGTGCGCGCTCTAAGATCGTCAAGACGCAGCAATAAGTATGATTCGCGGCGTTGAAATCCTAGGAATACTACTCTGTCACGCTTCAAGATTGTCAAACTGATGCGTTCCAGCGGAGTACTTCCTTCACTGGAAATGGTTACTTGTAGGAGCCTGCGAAGAGGGGACGCGGAGGGAGGGCGTACTGAAACATCATTGATGAGTCTTGGGTTTGCACTGGTCCTCTCCCTCTGTCTCGCAGCAGCCTCTGCTGTCCCCGATCCGAACGCGCCCGCGCCGCCCGCCGCCGGCGGCCGGCCCGCGCGCGCCCGGGGGACCTTGTCCGAAGGAGACGGGGGGGACGAGGGAGGCCACCGACTTGCCTGTCATCATCCGAAAGAAATGGGAGAGGTAAGGGAGCGGCCCCCCCCCCTCAATAGATCAAATAGGAGATGCCGGGGACGGCGAAACATGCGCGTAGCGTTGTGTACGGCGCACCTTGTCCGTAGCGCTGAAGACGTCGCATGCTCCTCCAGCTGTCGGTAGCCTGAAGGAGTATCGAATACCTGTTGATCTTTGGGTCGTACTTATTAGCAATCGTATTCGTCGCCCCCTCCACGCGCACGCTTATGATGCCCGTAGTGGATATGTAGCTCGCCTTTGTTGTGGTTCCCTGATAGAGGATGGCAGGCCGTAGTTGTTGGCCGCAGTCCGTAAGAGTCCAGCACGTCCACAAAATACTTGCTGCCTCCTGTGATCGTGAGCTGGTAGCGGAGTGCCGTGCTGTTACCCAAATCAGTAGCATCGAAATTGTAGCTCATGTAGCAGATTTGCATGTGTGTACTGGTCTGGATCCATATGCGTAGCGTTGCCCGTATAACTTGGCAACAACTATTGTTTGATAGTTGTCCGACAGTAGGGGCACCCTTCTCGATCTCGAATCGAGGGCGACGTAGTCGTCCTCCTCGGGGTCCCAAGGTAGGCAGTAGTTGAACCTCAAAGCTGAGTCGTATGGTTGACGCACCACCGGGATGTTTTATGTTGGGGGTAAACTGCCAGCAATCATCCCGAAGCGGCTGTGGTGGTGCTTGCCCATGATGTGGCCTTCGTCTCGGTAAACCATACTAACTTCACACACACGTATATGTATGTATTTATATTTCTATATATACAAATATAGTCCGAGCATTCAGCCTTGTATACGTGGATCCGTTTGTTGCACAAGTCTTTGAAGCTGTGGCGCAGGGCCACCTTGATGTCGAGAACCGTAAGTATTGCCTCCCGTCTTCTGCAGCAATCACTTTTGACACAAGCTGTATCCACTTGTCACAGGTAGGTTTTTCCCTGGCGTATCACCGATGCGTTTGTAGCCCACACCTGCCATGATGTATGGAAAAGTCTGCGTGTAGCAGTTTTGAACCAATAGCTTGTAGGAAACTGTGAATGCACGAGTAGGGCACTGTGCAGGGGATGGGTAGGAGTTATACAGTAGTGGCTGTTGCCTATAGCGCTGTCCTGTGGACTCCAATACAGATACAGGTAGTATCCGACTATGCGTGGCGGAGTTAGCATGCAGCCGCTGTCCTGCGGTACCAAGCGCACGCAAATGTCGTAAGCGAAGGACGAAACGACGCTTACGACGCTTGGTATGAGAACGGTGCGAGGAGGGGATGATGATGAGGTGACCCTTTCGCGAAACTAAAGCTGGCGCTGGGCATATGCCTCGGCAGGCCTGGCGCTGTGGTAGACTGGTTGGTCTCTTCAGCGGGCTGACGTTTTGCGCCCCTGCGGCCGACACACCGTCGTCGTCGTCGTCGTTGTAGTCTTCGTGCTTGTAATCCCCGATGGCCTCGCCCCCGTCGTTGGTATCCTCAGGCTCGATGTCCTCTTCGAGCGGGTAGTACGTCGCGCTGTCGCACTTGTGATTGTTGCCCTCCACGCACTCGCCACTCGTACGATATAAATGGGTCAAACTTCTTCATCATGTCGTTGCCCTTCCACCAGTATTCGTCGACGCACTTGCCGATCATGCTGCGGATGCGGATGTAGTCGGGGAGTTCGTTCGCTCCCTTGGGTTCGTACGGCGCGTAATACAAGAGGGCCTTGGAAAAGACCATGCTCGACTGCATGCAGTGGTTGTGTTTGACTATCTGGTCTAGGTACCTCGGCAGGCAGTCGTACTTGTAGTCGAAGGGCTTCAAGTGCAGCTGATACATGAACACGCCCACATCCATCGCATCGCCCGGAGGGATCTGGATCGCGATGTCGTCCATCTCGCCCGTCGGCTCGAAATCGTACTTGACGTGGACGAATTGTGCGCACTTCTGGATGTACCGGGAGCGTGGTACGAGACACTCCGGCTTCAGTGGTATCAGCTCGTTCGTGACGTCATGTGCTGAGCATGGGCGCCTGTCGGTCGTGTGCGTATCCTTCACGTAGTCGCCCGAGGCTTTGCATACGCGCCGGAAATTGTTTCGATAACTCCTGACGTGGTGTTTGACGCCGGCTTTGATGCCAGCATTCTAACATTAGGTGATGCCTTAGTGGCGTAACAGTCTCACTGATGCGAGTGTACCTTGACGAGGAACAGCAACCACTTGTTCTCGTAGTCGTCCGCCGTCTTCCCGCTGGCCTTGTACAGGATAGCAGCTGCGTCGTAGATGCCCACCTCCATCTAAAGCACGTCGAAAGTTGTACCCTCGACGACCTCCGAAAAGTGATACTTCACGAGAACCACTATTGTGCCCAACGCAGGGGCCCACGAAGCTTCTGCACGAAAGGTGCAAGCCTCTTGGCTTGGTAGAAAAGCGGCTGCGGAGATGCGATGGTACTGGTGCGCGTATGGTGCACGATCATGGTCTCCCATGGTATCCTGGTTTGGTCGCATGCCGCAGGGAATGCTGGTGATGATGATGATGATGATGATGATGATGATGATGATGATGATGATGATGATGATGATGATGATGATGATGATGATGATGTAGGGGGCATTATCCTTGTTGGAGCAACTCGTGATATGGCGTTAGCGTGATATGCAATTGGAATGGTCCTCCTCCTCCTCCTCCTCCTCCTCCTCCTCCTCCTCCTCCTCCTCCTCCTCTGGGGAGCCCAAGAGGTACCGATACCGCTACTCCCCGGACATCTCCTGGGATGTGCTCTGACCCCTACTTCGGGGCGAGTCCAGCCGTGGCGGCGCGGGCCTCCCGGGAGGCCCGAAAAAGGAGGAACGAGGGAACGGCAACGGTGTGGGTACCTTTCCCTCCTCTGAAGGTCCTCCCCCCCCCTCCTGCCCTCCTCCTCCTCCTCCTCCTCCTCCCCCTTTCCTCCTCCTCCTCCTCCCCTCCTCCTCCTCCTCCTCCTCTGAGATCCTCCCCCTCCCTCCCGCCCTCCTCCTCCTCCTCCTCCTCCTCCTCCTCCTCCTCCTCCTCCTCCTCCTCCTCCTCCCCCTGTTCCTCCTCCTCCTCCTCCTCCTCCTCCTCCTGCCCGCAGCCATTCTGGCTCAAGGGGCCTGCTCCTGAACTTCCCAACCTCGCCCGAGTCTGGCAGGCAGCGCTGCCAGTTTCAGAAATCCAACCATTCAATCTCTCGGGCGGGCCGCGGCGTCCGCTGCCATTGTCCTCGCCTCGTGCAGCCTGGGCGCAGCGTTCAGGCCATGGCTCCTCCAAAGAGCTACCGTCAATATGTCTGCTGCTCGCGTCAGGGATGCAAGGGATGGTCCTACATGGACCGCAACAACAACTTCTGCTCCCAGTGTGGCACCACCTTCCCCTAAGCCAGGTCAGCCTAAGTCAGGTCCTCCTCAAGAGCCCGCGAAGCAGCAGTCTGGGGGAGGTGGTAAGTCTGCCGGGGAGCGCCCAGGATCAGGAGGAGGTCGAGGCAACCGCTGGTCGCGTTTCAAAGTCAGTGACCAGGATGAGTTCATTCACGCCGCCACCCCCATAGCAGGCCGCAGCAGAGGACCCCGTCGCTGTGCATCAGGATCTTGTCAGCTTTTGGAAGGTTCGTGAAGGCACGGGGGGAGAGAATTATGCCAAAGCCGTTGGTTCTCCCAAGCAGGCGAAGTCATCGGCTCTCCAAGGCAAGCCCTTGGAGCAACAGTGTCAGTCTCTCCGCGATCAGGTCTCCGCCGCCCAAGGCAAAGTTCAGAAGTACACCGAGCAGGTCGAGCACTACATCGAGGAGATCACCGCCTTGGCCAGCAAGGTCGAGGCGGCGGAGGCAGACAAGGCCACCGCCAAAGCCGAGCTCGAGCAGCTGGAGGGCCAGCTGGCAGTCGCAGTTCGCGCAGTGGCTCAGCAGCAGGGGCCTCCCCCGTCCTCGCCCTTCTTCCCGCAAGTCTCGAGATTCATGGGAGAGTTCCAGAACGGTCCAGTCGCAGGAGTTCCTCTCCAGATCCAGGAGCAGATTCAGGCCCTGGAACAAAACTTCTCGAGACGGCGCACCAGCATCAGCAGCCGCAGCAACAGCAGCCGCAGCAGCAGCAGCAGCAGCCTCAGCAGGAGACTGGCCCAGCAGGTGATGGCGCGGGCAAGCCACCCATCCCAGAACAACTTATGCATGTTCCTGTCGAAAATCAGCCCACCGCAACCCCAGCCTCAGCAGCCTCCACAGGTACCCCAGCAGCCTCCTCAGAGCCCCAGCAGGCACAGAGGATGGATCATAACCAGACTCAGAAGCGGGGCCAGACAGACAGCGCAGCAGCCCTCGGGAGAGCCAGCCACGTTGTCAGTCAGGTAAGGGGCAAAGGGGACCAGGCAACGAAGAAACTCTAGCAAGCAGCCGAAACAGGTCTGGGGAAAGATCCGTCTCGGCTTTAGCTATAGTAAGCAGGTCGCCGCGTTGAATGGCAGCTGTTGGGAGGCCGTCAAAAGCTTCGCATCGTCGACATTATCCGAGAATGTCATTGCGATATGATGTCAGGAGGCTCGTATCTCAGGGGATCGCATCATTGATGCCAAGCAGTGGTGCCTTAAAGCAGGGCGTCGCGCTGTTACCTCACCAAGTTTCACAAGTTAATCGGACCGTCCGATGTCCGACGCAACTATCCTTGTCCGTGCTGGCCTAGACGCGGGCATTCGACCCGCGGTTCTCCCTCCTTCCAGCCACCCCAGCAGGATTGCAGCAGTAATTCTCGAGCTCCCAGGACACTCTCCCTTCATCTTGCTCCCCCTCTACCTTGAGGACTCAGCAGGCCCCAGTCAGAGCAATCTCGAGTTGCTGGCAGCCATCGGGTGGATGCAGAGCCACCACAGCATGCCAGCCTTTGCCGCGGGTGAATTTAACATGCCGCCTTTAACCATCAAAAAAAACAGTCTGATGGAGCGAGGGGGTTGTCAGTTGATTCACTCGCCTGGGCCCACCTATTTCACTAAGAAAAGTCGTGGGAAGCTGGATTACTTCGTCGCCAGCAGAGTCTTGGGAGAATATGTGAGCAGCGTCCAGGTTCTGACCAACTACCCGCTCTCGCCCCACAGGCCCGTCGTCGCCCAGTTCACGATAGGCCAGAATCATCTCATCCCCAGGTTGGCCAAGCCCCAGCAGATCCCCACCAAACGCCCCTATGGACCCTCCAAGGAGCCTCACGAGTGGAACCGTGCAGCCGGAGCAGTACAGCAGCTTCTGCAGATTATTTCAGAACCAGCGGCAGCAGAGCACCGGAATATCCAAGCTTTAAACGCAGCGTTTGACGCGTTCGCCCTGGACCTCGAAGCCTCGCTCGCCCAGCAAACAGACACCCCGCTCAGAAGTCGGGGACAGCTTTACCAGCACCCCAGGATCGTTTGGATTTCAGCCAGCGTAAAAGAATCGAAGCATCGCGCTTGTTGGCAGTCATATGCGAGGCCGCTACGGTGGCTCAACAACAGGGCGATTGATGTGCAGCGTGCTTTACACATTGGAGTATCCTCATCCTTGCGAGATGCACAGTCAGCCTTGCAGGATGCGCCGCAGGAGTTTCAGACAACACAGGAGTTGGAGGCTATCCTCACCAAGTGCTGCCGTTTTCTCGACGCCCTCGTGCTGGACGTTAGGCGCGACGGCATCGAGGCCTCCCGCCAGCGCGCCTCCCAGATCTTCTCAGAGTTGCAGGAAGAAATAACCGCCTTCCACGATCAGGAGCGCTCTCGGGAAAGACTCCAAGCCTCAGCCTCATGGAAACAGTGGGTCACGGAACAGATGGCCGAAGGAATGGGGCGGGCCCATCGGTGGCCCAAGGACAACACCACCTGACAGCCCCACCCCAGGAGGTCAAGGCCAAAGACGGCCGTTGATCTGGCAGGCACAGCAAGCTCCTGGAGGGCGAAGCTGACAGACTGTCGGGCCTCTGGAGCTTCCAAGATACCCCCCTCCCCAGAATCCCAGGGAACCTTGAAGCGGCGTCCAGGCTGCCAACTATCACGCCCGCCATTCTCAGGAAGGCCATAAGGACCTCCAGTCATCAAACGCGTCAAACTTCATCCCGAGCACTGCAAGCTGCTGACAGACAAGCAGCTGCAGATCTTCATTGACTTACTGTCGTGCAAAGAGCGGCTCGGCACGATGGCCTCCCAGATTCTGGCCATCCTTACGCATCTTACCCCCAAGCTGAAGGCCACTGGCGGGCCGGCGTACAGGTGCATCGATCTTCTTCCAGGGGCATGACGCGTCTGGGCAAAGTTGAGACAATCTGAGGCCAGCAGTTGGGAACGAGACAACCGTGCAGCTCCCTGTCGCACCAGTCAGGCCGCAGTATTCTAGAGCCTGTGTTTCAGCAATCCCTTCTCGCAGAGCAAGGTTGCCTATATAGCAGATGACTAGCTACATACGGCGTCAGAATAATGGGATATGTCCAGCTACTACGAGCACATCAGCAGAGAGGAACTTCAGCAGCGAGCCAACAGCAGCAACTTTAACAACGCGGTGATATCAGCCATACTAAACCAATCTCAATCCAGCAGGGGCCCCACGTTCAGTCAGCGAATCCAGCACCGCGGCTTCCCAGGAAAAGGAATACCAGCAGGGTGTGGGCTTGCAACATACCTAGTACAAATATACTGCAAGCATCCTCTTCATATTCAGTCTCGGCTGACAGCACATCCAGGCATTCAGCTCAGTCTCTTCATCAATGACTTTCTGTTGCAGTTTTTTCACGCGTGCAAGAAGCAGCTTGTGCAGCAGCTGCTCGACGCCGGCTTCCAGCTCTTAGGCGCTATCAAAAACGATTTGCATTGCCAGATCGCCGACGAGAAGTCGGCCGTCCTCGAATCCTCCAGGGACAGCCAGGAAGATCTCGAGAATGAGCTCGGCAAGTACGCGGGCCCCCTCAAGAAGGTCTCGGTAGCCCCCATCCTCGGCATCGACTTCCGCTCAGGTGGTATACGTCTCCGCGGGATTTCCAAGCCGACCCTGAGAGCCCGCCATCAGAAGCTTCAAGCCAGGACGAGAAGACTGGCCAGCATCAAGCGAGCCCAAGGGACACCCAGAATATATCTATAATACAGGTCCAGGGCGGGCGCACTCCTACGGGCCGGAGGTCGCGGGGATCGCTAACGTGGAGCTTCGCAGGTCGCAGTCTCTATATCTCAAGATCGCGGGCCCAGGGACCACCACTCGCTCTTGGGAGACCGCCTGCAGCGGGCACAGTGCTTCTCTGGAGTCAGCTTGTCTGGCGCGCGGCCACAGGCACCGCCACACCTGGCTTCAGCCTGCCGCGCGTGAGGCTTATGGCGGACGCGGTGCCTGCGCGACCGCCCACAGCGTGGAGCAGCTGCCGTGGACCGATGGGAACAGCGTGCCTTGGCCCCAAGCGGATCCAGCGGTCCTCCCCTTCCCCCTTTCTTCGATCAAGGCCCAGCAGGCAACCAGCACATACTCACCAGCACCGCCCAGCCTCCCCCAGGACTCCCTCGAGCGCTCCTGGGATGACACGCTAGCTAGAGCAGCAGCTGCGAAGATGGGCGTCTACGCGGCCAAGTTGAACTGCAAGGTGGCCCAGACATGTTTGAGGCACGCCAGGTTACCAGCAGCTGAACGCAGCACCCTCACGGCCTACTTGCGCCACGCCATATGGACTCGGAGCGGTCTGAAAGCAGCGGGGTACGATGAACACACAGGAGAGTGTCTTTGTGGTGCAGCCTCTGATGACCTACCCCACCGTCTTCTGAGATGTCCCCTCACCGAGAATCATAGGCAACAGAGTTTCACAGCGGAAGACATTGAGAGTTTAACCAGCCCGAATAGTTATCCGCTGGCCGCGGGTTTTCAGATCGAGCCTGATTTCGACAAAGGGGCCCCAGCTGGGCTCGGACTCGGCTCCATGAATTTTTGGTCCGAGGATCCCCAGGCCACCCTGCCTCTGCCCTAGCGGGCAAGGTCTCCTCGGACGGTTCCGCGCTGAAACCAGGGAATCAAATGTTTGAAACGGCTGACTGGGCAGTGGCAAAAGCCAATGCCGATGGCGAAGTGATCGCCGCTCTGACTGACCAAGTTGGCCGTCTCCTTCCCCGGTCATCTCCTGCTGCTGAGCACTGTGCCGCGATTGCTGCCCTCACCTCCCCCCCAAACCTTACAAAGATTTCCGTTGATTGTCGGGGCATAGTCGACCTCTATGCCACGGGACTTTCTCGTCCCAACAGATCAGCAGGAATTGGTTTTCTAGCCCGAGGTGCCATAGGCTGGCACGCGGATCTTAGGTTTCCCAAGGTTAAGGCTCATCAGGACTTGAATGCCCAGCCCGAAGGCTCACCAGAGTGGGCCGACGCAAGGGGCAACCATGGGGCCGATCGTTTTGCAGGCATCGCGGCCCGAGCTTTCAACCGACCCTCGGAGGCTGAAATTACAGACCATTCCGACCAGTGCAAGTTGCTTAGTCAATTTCTGCGATATGTGGCTAGCGCCCTCCAAGCATGGCCGCCCTTAGGCCCCAGCTCGACAAAGAAGGCTTACAAGAAGCCGACGAAGTCTCTGTCCCCGCCAGTTGGAGCGCCTTCTGTTCAAGAAGTTTGGGAGCCGACCCCCGCCCCCTCCTCCTCCTCCTCCTCCTCCTCCTCCTCCACCTCCTCCTCCTCCTCCTCCTCCTCCTCCTCCTCTTCCTCCTCCTCCTCCTCCTCCTCCTCCTCCTCCTCCTCCTCCTCCTACCGCGGCCCCCCGCCCGCCCAGATGTCGGGGAGAGACGCGGGAGCATAGGTGGGAGGCAGCTGGGAAGCGTGTTTTTATGTGTGCATCGATTGCCGGAGCCGAGCGACAAGTAAGAGGCCTAGCACATGTCCAGGTTTCTCTCAGGCTCTCGCTGGTACAGTCGGGGCCTTGACCTAAGGAACCCAAAGTAAGGAACGAGGCCCCTTTTTTTCCATACGTTAAACTTCGATTTCCCTCCGAAAACCTAAGGAAAACGTGGGGCAAGCTGCGAAACACTTAAGGAACGCGGAGCCCCTCCCCAACCAAAAGGGTTCCTTATTCAGGGCCCCGACTGTATTTGTGCTAACACTCAGGGCCACTCTTTGTTCATTTGTGAGCAGCACAGAAGAGGGTCTTTCATTGTCGCCTGTCGTGGGTGCGGCAAGTTTGCTCAATCGAATGTGCGGTCCCTCAGCTCCAAGTGTGCCGAACGGTACGTGAGGAATGGAGACCGCACCCAGTGGAACCTCCTGCTAGAAGGCAGGAACCTCGAGGCAGCAGGAATTCGCCAATTGATTTCGAGCGGCCGAAGCCGCTCCACCAGTACCTCCAGCGCCAGGCCCAAGAGCTGGCGGAGATGGAGGAGGCCGCCGCTGCTGCCGCTGCCCCCGCCCCAGGCCAACCGTGCGGGGGGAGGGAGGGAGAGAGAGCAACAGCAGCAGCAGCAGCAGCAGCAGCAGCAGCAGCATCAGTAGCACTGCTCAGTCGAACAGTCGAACCTTCAATCTGTGCGACGGTCCTCCTCCTCCTGCTCAGTATCCTCCCCCCTTTCTCCTCCTCCCCTCCTCCCACCCCCCCTCTCCTCATCCCCCCTCTTCCCACGGGGGGCCACGTCTCCAAAAGGATCACCAGGGCCGTGGCCCTGACTTGCTCAATACGTGGCCCTCCTCCTCTTCCTCCTCCTCCTCCTCCACCTCCTCCTCTTCCTCCTGCTCCTCCTCCTCCTCCTCCGCGTCCTCTTCCTTCTCCTCATGTTCCGCCTGCTCCTCATTCTCCTCCTCCTCCTCCTTCTCCTCCTCCTTTTCCCCCTCCTCCCCGGAAGTCCCGACCTTTTCCCTCGGATCGTTGTTCGTCCCGAGTCGTGTTCTGACGGCCCCGGGGCCCTCGTGAAGGCCCCCATAGACTGAAAGCGGCGAGAAGCCTCCCGTGATGATGTTTGTCCAACGCGAGGATGTGTGGAAGGGGGCCTAGGCCTACAGCCGAAGATGACAGGAAGGATGCGCGATGGTGGTGCAAGTCCCTTGGACGCCCATGTTGAAGCGTCTCGAGTGGGGCTGGCCATCAAGAGGGGTTAAGGGTGGGCCGAAGCGGCACGTATGCAAGGGCAGCCTTGGGAAGGCTACCCATCCTTGGCATCGGTTTCGGTTGTATCCATAGGTCGGGCATGTCCGCCTACAGGCGGATGTTGGGGGGAAACGAAAAACAAGTATCACACATAGTCAGAAGAGCACGAAACATTGTCCCCAGACTCTTGTTTCTACGGTTCCCGAATATTCCTCCTGTAGAGGGACACGCCCGACCGAACTGTACCCCCCCCCTTTTCGTCTGTTTTTTTTTGGTGCCCAGACAGAGCACCTGGGCGACACAACCCGAAGGGAGGTGCCCAGGGTGCCTGCACGAGTTCACACGCAGCCGGACCTCGCAACGTGAACGGCGGCACGGACCCGCCCCAGGTGTGACATCTGCGCCGCCGTTGCGAGGCGCCTCGGGACCCCCTTCCCCCCTTTCCTTAAGTCGGGCGTGTCCCCCTACAGGCGGATTTTGGGAGAAAAATTAACCCGGCAAAGCAATCTAACAGCGATGTGTATAAGCATATCTGGAAGCATTCCCCTTAAGATTCAGGTGAGAATCCAGTTGTAGATCAGGTGAAGAATCCAGGTGAGATTCCAAACAGATTCAATGATTACGCAAATAATCCAAAATACTAGAAAACACACATCCCCGGGCTATTTGTTTGACTATTTTTGAATATTCCTCCTGCAGAGGGAGAGGTCCGACTTGACCCTTTCCCCCTTCGTCTGGCCCAGCTCCTCCCCAGGCGGCGGCTCCGCCGAGGCGGCGGCGGCCCCCCTGCTCTCGGGGTAGAGGTACTCCCCGAGGTTGTACACGAAGACGTCCTCCTCTCGGAGGCCGCTGGGAGACCCTGCCCCCCCCCCCCCTCCCCTCCTCCTCCTCCTCCTCCTGCTCCTCCTCCTCCTCCTCCTCCTCCTCCTCCTCCTCCTCCTCCTCCTCCTCCTCCCCCTCCCCCTCCTCCTCCTCCTCTCCTCCTCCTCCTCCTCCTCCTCCTCCTCCTCCTCCTCCTCCTCCTCCTCCTCCGCCATTCCTTCTCCTCAAGGCAAGTTTTTAAGACGGGCCGGGTGAGACTTCCTCACCACTTATGACTCTGAAGTTAAGAAAGCGGCAACAGCTTCAGAGATGAAGGGCGGGTCGTTTTTTTGAAAATGTGGATCTCGCCGTAGCGCCGCGCACATTCGCTTCAAACAATTGCAAGAATTGCGAGGATTGAGGGCGGGTGGTTTTCAAAATGTGGCTCTCGCCTTAACGCCGCGCACATTCGTTTTTAAACGTTCAAGAGTTTCACGGATTGAGGGCGGGTCGTTTTCAATATGTGGTTCTCGCCTTAGCGCCGCTAAGATTCGTTTAAACATGTGCAAGACCTTCACGGACTCAGGGCGGATCGTTTTCAAACTGTGGTTGTCGCCGTATCGCCGCGCACATTCGCTTCAAACATTTGCAAAGAATTTCACGGATTGAGGGCGGCTCCTTTTCAAAATGTGCCTCTTGCCTTAGCGCCGCACACATTCGCTTTCAATGTTTGCAAGAGCTTCACGGGTTCGCATAATCAACGGACCAGAAATTGTGTGTTGGAAGGATTCAGGATTTTGCGGGCGCAACAATTATGTTGAGTCGCGGTGATGAAGTCCCAAAAATGGCGCCCTGGCACGATTTCGGATCGTCAAGACGCGGCAGTCAGGTTGATACGTGGCGTTGAAATCCCCAGAGCCATGTTTCGGCACGCTTCAGGATCTTCAAACGGTTGTCTTCAAACGAGGCAGTCGCCTTAATGGAAATGAACCGTTGTAAGGGCCTACGAAGAGGGAGCTTGGAGGGAGGGCTCATTCCACCATCGTTGATGACTCTTGGGTTTACACTGGTCCCCCTCCTCCTCCTCCTCCTCCCCCTCCTCCTCCTCCTCCTCCTCCTCCTCCTTTTCCTCCTCCTCCTCCTCCTCCTCCTCCTCCTCCTCCTCCTCCCCTCGAACCATGTAAAAAGCACGACGGAAAGCTTTCCCACATGCCTCCGAGATGGGGTCCGAGTAGATGGGGCCGGAGGATCGTACAACATCGCCGATGCATCGGCGACGTCGGCGATGCACATGCGACGTCGGCGTGGGGTAAATCGGGCCCCGCATCGAGCCGCGTCGGCGATGCATTGGCGATGCAGCGCGATCCTCCGACCCCATCTGCTCCGACCCCATCTAGGAGGCCTAGGAGTCCCCAAATTTCGGCATCTGGGGACCCTAACCGGGCGTCGGGACCGTCAACGAAACGACTCAAATAACACCTGGTCCTGGGGAGTAGGAGTGGACGCCATGGAAATTACCCTGGCGACGTACCCAACCCCTGCGCAATGCGGGGCAGGAGTAGCTTGGGAGATTTGACGAGAAGGCGGCAACGTGACATGGACGCATATACTTCTGCGAGCGGCATTCGGAGGGTTCACAGGTCCCCAATCAAGGGAAACACGATGAGTAACTAGGTGAACCGCTGAGTCACTAAGGAACACGCAAGGTCCAAAAGGAGACGGTGGGCAAGGGGCGGCAGCAACAACATGACATGGCCCCCCAAGGACGGCGAGGCCCCGCTCAGGTCTGCGCAGTGCCTCACTCCGCTGGACCCAGCAGCCTTCGACAGTGGCGAGCCCACCAGCAGCCCTCGAAAGTGGCGACAGGTTCGCAGATCGCAGCCCCCCAGGGACGGCGAGCTACCGCTCAGATCCGCGCGGTGCCTCACTCCGCTAGGCCCACCAGCAACCCTCGAAAATGGCAACAATTTCGCAGATCGCAGCCCCCCAAGGACGGCGAGCTACCGCTCAGATCCGCGCGGTGCCTCACTCCGCTGGACCCACCAGCAGCCCTCGAACGTGGCGACAGTTCCGCAGATCGCAGCTACTGCTCAGATCCGCGCGGTGCCTCACTCCGCTGAACCTACCAGCAGCCCTCGAAAGTGGCGACAGGTTCGCAGATCGCAGCCCCCTAAAGGACGGCGAGCTACCGCTCAGATCCGCGCGGTGCCTCACTCCACTGGACCCACCAGCAGCCCTCGAAAGTGGCGACAGTTTCGCAGATCGCAGCCCCCAAGGGACGGCGAACTACCGCTCAGATCCGCGCGGTGCTTGACTCCGCTGGACCTTCCAGCAGCCCTCGAACGTGGCGACAGTTCCGCAGATCGCAGCCCCCCAGCGACGGCGAGGCACCGCTCAGATCCGCGCGGGGCCTCACTCCGCTGGACCCACCAGCAGCCCTCGAACGTGGCGACAGCTTCGCAGATCGCAGCCCCCTAAAGGACGGCGAGCTACCGCTCAGATCCGCGCGGTGCCTCACTCCACTGGACGAACCAGCAGCCCTCGAACGTGGCGACAGGTTCGCAGATCGCAGCCCCCTAAAGGACGGCGAGCTACCGCTCAGATCCGCGCGGGGCCTCACTCCGCTGGACCCACCAGCAGCCCTCGAAAGTGGCGACAGTTTCGCAGATCGCAGCCCCCAAGGGACGGCGAGCTACCGCTCAGATCCGCGCGGTGCCTCACTCAGCTGGACCTTCCAGCAGCCCTCGAAAGTGGCGACAGTTTCGCAGATCGCAGCCCCCTAAAGGACGGCGAGCTACCGCTCAGATCCGCGCGGTGCTTGACTCCGCTGGACCCACCAGCAGCACTCGAAAGTGGCGACAGCTTCGCAGAAGATCGCAGCCCTCCAGGGACAGCGAGGTCTCGCGGGAGACAGGAGGCGGGAGGCAGGAGGCGGGAGGGGGGACGGGAGGACGCGACCGCAGTGCTCTATTCAGAACGAATGCCCAACCAAGGAGGGTTGAGAAACATAAAATACATCGGGGGTCTGGGGATGGATCCTGGCGGCGGATGGCTGCTATCAGTTCTTGGCCTGTGGGGCCCTCGCTGGGCCCTGGGACCGTCAGAAAAGCTACTCGGGGAAACAAGCAGGCTACAGGGAAGTTGTCGAGATCTCTGCGGGTGGACGTTGCGCAAAAATCGCTACATCGGAGGTCCGAGAAGGCGTCCTGAGTGGCCAAAAAAGGACGCCTAACCCTTTGGGAGGGGGCCTAAGTTAGGAGGGCCAAAAACATTAAGGACAGGGGGCGCCTTTCCGCAGATGTATCAAACAGAACCGTCCAGATTGATTGTCCTAATACGGGGACCTCAGTGAGGCCAAATCCTCGTCGTGTTATTAGGGTTAGGGGTTCTTTCGTTCTCGGCGACGTCCTCCCAGCTTTGGGCGCCCACCTTGGAGGCCCGGGGACGTCTGGGCCTCGTGACGGGGCTCTCTCTCTCTGACGGCAACCTGGGCCTCCCCCTGCAGGTCTGGGGCCACCCCTTGGGGTCAAGGAAGCACTGGGGCCGCGCCCGAGGCCTTGTCCGCCAGCGGCCACAGCCCGTTGATCGACGAGAGCAGCGACTCGCGGAGGAGCGGCGTCACCGTCCCAGCGATCCTCCCGACGGGAGAGATCGAGAAGTCGACGGGCGGCGGCTCCACGAACGTGAGGGCGACGAAGCCCACGTAGGGGTACCCCCGGGGCGCCGCCTCGACCAGGATCGCCACCGGCGCGGGGCCCAGGACGACGTCCGCGAGCCGGATCCGCAGGCTGGGGAGGACGTCGGCTACACGCGGGAGTGACCCTGTAGGCTTAGGTCGGGCGTGTCCCCCTACAGGCGGATTTTGGATGAAAAATCACACAAATATACATATATTTAAAAAGGTCAAAAAATACTAAACAAATCGCGCCCTGACTATTATTTCAACTGCTTTTGAATACCCTTCCTGCAGGGGGACAGGCCCGACTTAACTGTAGGCAAGAGTGCCCTTCGGCGGTGCGCAGTTCCGCGGGGGGGAGGGGGGGGGGCCGGGCCAAATCCAGGCGCGAAGGCGAGTGCAGGAGCGACCCGCGTGAGCCGGCACCAGAGTTCGCTCTGGCGGAAGGGTCGCTCGCGCGCGTGGCCGCGGATGCTCCGCGACGCAGAGCTCGCCCCGGTGCTGACGACCATCTCGAAGCCCGCGTCCGCCACCCAGGTGACGTCCGCCTCGAGCAGGACGGTGCGCGCCGTCTGGCTGCGGGGGCCCTCCACCGAGAGATTCTGGTAAGCCTCGTCCAGCGCGTCGGCCAGCAGCCGGGCCGTCCTGTCACTGGGGGCCCTGATCGCATCCAGCACGGGCGGCGAGTCCCCGAATGCGCTCCGCTCCACCGCCACGTTCAGCACCTCCCCGCTCCCGTGCAGCGACCACGCGGCGTACATCGCGAGCTCTGCGCCGAGGCCGCTGCCGCCGACGCTCGTGTTCGTGCTGTTCACGAAGGCTGCGACCGCGGGGCCGTGGAAGAGGCCCTCTGGGGAGCCCTCCATCAAGGTGGCGGAAAGGGGCGACCACACCGCGGCTAGCCCAGCGTTGAGCCATCGGGCGCTCTCGACCTCGTCGGTGCTGAGGCGGCGTGCCGCGCCGTCCCAGCCGAGCTGCCGCTGAAGGGCCCTGTCGTCCACCCGCAGGACGAGCAGCACGGCCACGACGATGAGGCTGCGCATCGCCCATCTGCCAGCCCTGTGCTGGAGCCTCGCACGGGGCCAGCCTTGTGCTGGATCTTGCGCTTGTGCGGCCTCCGAGGGCTCGCGCGCGGCCCGGCCCAGCGCCCAGGACAGCAGGATCGCCGTGGCCAGCGGCACAGACACCGACACCGCCCGCACGGCCGGCGCGCCGAGCACCCCCGCCATGCTCTGGCCAGGGCTCCTCCTGTGGTGCAGCCTCCTCTGCGACTGCCCCTGGGGCGTGGCAGAGTGGCCCGGAGAGGCGCCGCGCGCCCGCCCCTCCTTGCGCTGCCCCTGGCGGCGCGGCCTGGAGGGCTCGCCCCTCAGCCTGTCCGCGGCCCACCTGCTCGGCTCCCCGAGCACTCGCGCGGTGTCCTCGACGACCTTGGAGGCCTCGCCCGCGACGCTCTCGACGACGCCCCCCACCAGCACCGTGGCGTTCCCCACGCCCGTCAGCGTCGCCCCCAGCAGCCGGTAGACGCCGCCGACGACGCGCGACGGGCCGGCCAGGGGCCCGCTCTCCACGACCGAGGTCTCGCCGAGCTGGCTCACGCCGCTGCCCAGCCCGCGCACCAGCGCCCCCGTGAGCCGGCAGCTGGCCCCCAGAGTGGAGGCCGCCGCGTCCCCGAGCACGCGCACGGCATCCGCGGAGGCGTCCACCGTGCCCGTCACGGCGCCCATGGTGTCCGTGAGGGCGCCGCGGAGAGGGCGCCAGGTCTTCTGCAGGAGGACCTTCGGTCGCTGGCGCCGGCTCCGCCTCTGCGGGGGGGGGGAGGACCAGACTGCTCCGTGGACGCTCCGACTCGGGCGCTCGCCAGCGGGGGGGAATGCACGGCGGGTGCTGGCACGTGCACCTTTCCAACACCTCTTAGGGCCCCTGGTTGCAGTTGGGGGGGGGGCCATTGGGGACACATTTGGGACCTCATTCACCCCTCCCGTTCCTTGCCCACCCTCTACTGGGCGCCGAAGTGGTCAGTATTCCGAGGCAGATCTGGCCTTGACGACCAGGGCCCCCCAGGGAGGCCCATCAAGGCATCAACGGTAGATGATCTTCAGAGAGTGTGGCCGCGACACATTTCTAACTGTGTTCGTTTCTAATTGTTCCCGGCCCCCTAGTGGCCAGGAAGAGGCTCAGGATAGAATAATTAGAAATGAAAGGGTCTTGGCCCCCAGAAAATCCAAGAACCTTCGAAGAATTAGAAATCAACAACGTGTACCGTCTCTGGGCTCCCTCCAGGCCCCGCTCCAACGAGGTACGGTGCACAGTACCTCGGCTCGAAGGGGTTGAAAAACTGTGCGCCGTACGGCAGATCCATGTCGAGCCGACTTCGGCGTTGGCTCTTCACACCACTGGAATCGTTCGACTCTTGCTCGCTGGCGGCGTTCAATGTTGAACGCCAGCGGCGGGGTCGCCAACGGTCGACACGACGCGAACCATTCCGCACCGTACGGCAGGTTCGTGTCGTGCCGACTTCGGTGTTGGCTTATGACACACACCACAGGGATCATTCAACCTTGAACGATCGGCCGTTTCTGAAACGTCAGATCGTTCATCATCGACCGATTCTTGGTCGCTGGCGGCGTTCAACGATGAACGCTGGCGGCGGGGTCGTCGCCGGCCGACACGATGCGAACCTTCCGCACCACTCCCCGAACGAGGATCGACGACGCCTCGGGAGACGCCAACGCGGCACGATGCACACATGTCGTCCGCAGATCCGATGGTAGCGTGACCGTCGACCCCGACCCAAAAAACATGACTGCCCATGCTGGACATAAACTGACAATTCCCTGTCGCTGTGCTGTTACTGTGAGCCACGCCTGCATCGCAGACCGGGGGGGGGCTGGGAAGGGGCATGCCACGCCTTGACAAGCCTTGCCCCGACTTGTGGCCACGCGGCGATCGCCACGGCACTATCCAAGACCGACCCTGGATGAACAAAAAACCGCATGAACATAAACTCTGGAGATCCGCGAGAATCTCTCGGACACCACGCAACGATCCGGTGCGCACTGCTCCCTCGGGTCCTCGGGCCCGCGGAGCGGTTGTCCGCCGCCGACGCCGCAGCCCGGCCCTCGGCGCTGGCCTCTAGGGGGCCACGTGCGAACCCTACCCCCACCCCCCACGATGTCTGAGGGGGAGGGGGAGGAGGAGGGGGAAGGGGGAGGAGGAGGAGGAGGACGAGGAGGAGGAGGAGGAGGAGGAGGAGGAGGAGGAGGAGGAGGGGAGGAGGAGGAGGAGGAGGAGGGAGGAGGGAGCAGGAGGCCCCCACAGCCTTGGCCTGCGCCCTGGCGGGGCGCTGCGGACGCAGCGCGAGCAGCGCCGCGGCCGCCAGCAGGAGCCGCGCGGGCGGCCGAGCGCCCCGCCCCTCGGGGGCGCCGCGGGGCGCGCCGCGGCTCGCGCCGCGGCGGCGCGCCATGGCGGCGCGGAGGGGCCTCGCCCCTCGCGGGCCTGGCCGGCGGCCCTGGGCCGAAGCGGCTGCTGCCGGGAAAGCGGTGTCACCTGGGGCCAGGGTCGCCGCCAGGCCTCTCGCCTCCTCGATGCGGTGGGCCCGCGGCCATCATCATCATCATCATCCTCATCATCATCATCATCATCATCATCATCATCATCAGCATCATCATCATCATCATCATCATCATCATCATCATCATCATCATCATCATCATCATCATCAGCATCATCATCATCATCATCATCATCATCATCATCAGCATCATCATCATCATCCCCATCATCATCCCCATCATCATCCCCAAGGCCCCAGGGGCCCGACAGCGGCCGCCGAACCCAGGAAACTGGCGGGCATTGGGGTATAAGGCACGACGCCAGGGGGTGTGGGCAGAAAGCAGCCCCCTCCGTGACATCTGACCCGCGGCCTGCCCGGGGCCCAGGAGTGCTGCGCAAACAGATCTCTATCTCTGACGTCCGCAGCGGACCACCCCTCAGGAATAGACACGGACGACTTACCCAGGGAGAATGATGAGCAATCAAAAACATCCACTAACCCTTTTGAAAAGGACCTAAGTCGGGAGGGCCAAAAACATGAGGTATAGAGGGTCTTTTCTGCAGATGTAGCAGACCAAACCGCCCAGGTCTATTACCCCTCATGCGAAGACGGGGATCTAGGTGAGGCCACGTCTTCGTCGTGTTATTAGGGTTAGGGGTCCTTTCTATGACCCCTAGATGCGAAGACGGGGACCTAAGTGAGGCCACATCTTCATCGTGCTGTTAGGGTTCGGGGTTCTGTGGCTCTGGATGGGAAAAGTCCCAACCCACGGTGAGAGCTGCTGAATACTCGTGGCAACGCACTCGCTGCTTCCCTCGGCGCAGGCGGCGCGAGCGAGCCCCAGGCCGGCGCCGGCGCCCCAGGCGGCCGCCCTCGCGGGGCGACGCGCCAGCGCACCATCCGCCGCCGAGCCCCGCCTCCCCGCGCGGCGCCGCGCCCCGCCACGCCTGCCGCGCGCCCGCCCGCGGGCGCGCCGCCGAGGGGCCCCAAAGGCCCGGGGCGCCCGCCCGAGGCGCCTGCCCCTCGTGGCCGCCCGCGCCGCTGCACCGCGCAGGCAGCGCCCCGAGGGCGCGGTCAGCCGGCGGGGGGCTGCATGGACCGCGTCTCCACGAAGGCATCCATCATCATCTCCTCCGCGATGGAGCGCTTGAACTCCTCGAAGCCGAGCACGTCCCCGAACTGCGGCAGCAGGTGCTCCAGCACCGCGGCCCGCCTCCCGGCGTCGTCGTCGGCGACGCACTCCCGCGGCACGTAGACCAGCAGGCCCTCGTCCGCGAGGGCCTGGACGACCGAGAGCACGGACTGTCCCGCCTTGAGCCCCGCCACGGCCACCTTGGAGATCCCTCGCTGGCGCAGGGGCTCCAGCAGCTCGCCTCCTGGCCGCAGGCGCTGGCGCCAGGCCATCACATCATGAGTCTCTGGAGCGAGCGAGGGCTCGATCTCGGAGCCCTCGTAGCCCTCCATCAGCCAGTGCACGGCGCTGTCGCCTTGCCTGGAGTTGAGACGCGCAAGGCTGCCGAATGGGCGGTGCCGGTGGGGCAAGCCTGCGTAGCCAGAGGCGAACCTTTGCATGAGGGGTCCTGGTGGAAATGAGTCCTGGACCCCACAGGGTTCCCCAGGACCGTCCTTTCATCCTCGGTCAATTTGATTGACGACGCTGGGCCCTGGAGCCAGGGCCCCTCTCCCCAAGACTCCCCTCATGAACCGGAGTCCGGAGAAGGCGACCAGCCAGCCGGCCTGCCGCGCGGCTCCGACCAGCTCCCGGAGGTTCTCCAGGAGGGACTGTCGCTCGGCCTACATGGGGAAACAAAAGATGGCGGTACAGTCGGCCTCGATTGGACAGGACACGCGAGGGGACACGAGACCCTTCCGAGGTCCACATTGCCATAGGAGCGTAAGAAGGCACGAGTCGCGAGGCACAGGACACAAGGGTACCCTTGAGCTGACAGGGTCGACCTGCTAATCTGGGCCGACTGTACCGCGGCTCCCTGGACCTCGCCCGGGGCGCGTCCCGGCCAGCATTTCGAAGCGCATCCCAAAGCGGGGACGAGCAGACACCGAGAGGCCCCATCAGGCGAAGACGAGGGAAGGGCAGCGGCATCGGCACAATAGATCAGTACGAGAGGGAATCTGACCGAGAGAGCTCGATGGGCACATCCATCGTCGGCATTGAACGCGGCAAGGAGCAGCATCGCCCCCTCGGGGGGTGAGAAACTCTCGTGAAACGCCCGCTTTCAGGCAAGTTTCTCCTATTCCCAAAGACGAGTTTCACTTAGAGGATGCCATTATTCCTGTCCCGTGGGAACTTCCAAATTCTTACCCGGTGGCCGCCTCGAACGGCGTGATGGCTGACATTCCTGGGTTTCGAAACGCTCTGGCTCTCCCCGGGTGGCCGCCCGCGGCCGCCTCAAAGCCGCCCCGTGCACTGGCTGGAGCCCGGGTGCGGCCTCGTGGCCGCTCCGTGCGCTGGCTGGCATTTCAGGGGGCCAGATGCGAACCCTGCCCCCACCCCCCACGATTTCTGAGGGGGAGGGTGGGGTCCATTCCATTCGGGAGCTCCCGAGCGAAGTGAGCCCCACCCTCCCCCTCAGAAATCGTGGGGGACTCCACGCCGCGAAGAGAGAGGAGGGGGAGGAGCAGGAGGAGGAGGAGGAGGAGGAGGAGGAGGAGGAGGAGGGGAGAGGAGGAGGAGGAGGAGGAGGAGAGAGGTGAGGAGGAGGAGGAGGAGGAGGAGGGTTCGCATCTGGCCCCCTACAATTCTGGGCCTGCGCCCGGCGGCCGCTTCGCGGCCGCCCCGCACGCTGGCGTGCGCTTCGGGGCGCACACACATCGTGCACCGCATAAACTGTGCAACGTAATGAGATTGCACCACTGGACTTGCCCCCGCGAGTTGCACGACAAGGAGTGCACCACGCAGCCTGTGCCACATACTGCACCACGCAAGTTGCACCACGCAGGTCGCACTGCCTACATTGTACCGCGTTGCTTGCACCATTCGGCTTGCAGCCCACAAGTGGCACAAAAAACGCCTGCACTTAAACATAAATCAAAGGCAGCAGCGTGGAATAGGGATTCCCCGCTGCAATGTCCCGGCGGAGAACCGCGGGCCACGCGGGGGCTCGTCGTCGGGCCCTCCGCCAGAGGCTCCTCCTTCTTCTCCTTGTCGTCCCCCGCCCCCTGCCCCCCCCCAGCCCATCCCCCTGCTGTTGCTCAGTCTTCCTCCTCGCCCTCGTCGTCGTCGTCGTCCTGGTCGTCGTCGTCGTCGTCGTCGTCGTCCCCCTCCTCCTCGCCCGGTTGCGGTTGCGGTTGCGCGCCCGCGGGCGCTTTGAAATGTGTCGCCCGGTTGCGGTTGCGGTTGCGGTTGCGCGCTCCCGCGGGCGCTTTGAAATGTGTCGCCCGGTTGCGGTTGCGGTTTGCGCGCCCGCGGGCGCTTTGAAATGTGTCGCCCGGTTGCGGTTGCGGTTGCGGTTGCGCGCTCCCGCGGGCGCTTTGAAATGTGTCGCCCGGTTGCGGTTGTTGGGCTGCGGTTGCGCGCCCGCGGGCGCTTTGAAATGTGTCGCCCGGTTGCGGTTGCGGTTGCGGTTGCGCGCTCCCGCGGGCGCTTTGCAATGTGTCGTGCGGTTGCGGTTGTTGTGTTGCGGTTGCGCGCCCGCGGGCGCTTTGAAATGTGTCGCCCGCTTGCGGTTACGGTTGCGGTTGCGCGCTCCCGCGGGCGCTTTGAAATGTGTCGCCCGGTTGCGGTTGCGGTTGCGCGCCCGCGGGCGCTTTGAAATGTGTCGCCCAGTTGCGGTTGCGGTTGCGGTTGCGCGCTCCCGCGGGCGCTTTGAAATGTGTCGCCCGGTTGGGTTGCGGTTGCGCGCCCGCGGGCGCATTGAAATGTGTCGCCCGGTTGCGGTTGCGGTTGCGGTTGCGCGCTCCCGCGGGCGCTTTGAAATTTGTCGCCCGGTTGCGGTTGTTGGGTTGCGCGCTCCCGCGGGCGCTTTGAAATGTGTCGCCCGGTTGCGGTTGCGGTTGCGGTTGCGCGCTCCCGCGGGCGTTTCTTTGTAAATGTGTTTACGCTACGGGTTGCGTGCGTGTCTTGAGGTTTGCGCGCTCCGCGGGCGCCTTTTGAAATGTGTCGCCGGTTGCGGTTGCATGGTTGCGCGCCCGCGGGCGCTTTGAAAGGTGTCGCCCCCGGTGACGGTGCAGTTGCGGTTGCGCGCGAGCCCCACCTTCGCGGCTTGCTGAAATGTTTGTCGCCCGGTTGCGGTTGTTGGGTTGCGGGTGCGCGCCCGCGGGCGCTTTGAAATGTGTCGCCCGGTTGCGGTTGCGGTTGCGGTTGCGCGCTCCCGCGGGCGCTTTGAAATGTGTCGCCCGGTTGCGGTTGTTGGGTTGCGGTTGCGTGCCCGCGGGCGTTTTGAAATGTGTCGCCCGGTTGCGGTTGCGGTTGCGGTTGCGCGCTCCCGCGGGCGCTTTGACATGTGTCGCCCGGTTGCGGTTGCGGTTGCGGTTGCGCGCTCCCGCGGGCGCTTTGAAATGTGTCGCCCAGTTGCCGTTGCGGTTGCGGTTGCGCGCTCCCGCGGGCGCTTTGAAATGTGTCGCCCGGTTGCGGTTGTTGGGTAGCGGTTGCGCGCCCGCGGGCGCTTTGAAATGTGTCGCCCGGTTGCGGTTGCGGTTGCGGTTGCGCGCTCCCGCGGGCGCTTTGAAATGTGTCGCCCGGTCGCGGTTGCGGTTGCGCCGCCGGGTTGCGCTCCCGCGGGCGGTTTGAAATGTGTCTCCCGAGCTGTCCCCTGAAGTTCAGTCAGTCATCAGTCAGCCGGCGGGCACGCCATTTCACCCGGCTCCGCCGGGAATAAATTACCCCAGTGCGACCCGACCTAGAAGTTGGAGCCCCTAGGAAAACAGCATTGCTTGCTATGCTATGCTATATTATGCCATGGTATGTTGCGCTATGCTATGCTATGTTATGATATGATGTGCTGCGCTATGCTATGCTATGCTATGCTATGGTATGCGATGCGATGAAATGATATGCTATGTCATGCTGCGCGGTGATATGCTAAGCTATGATATGACATGCTATGTTAAGCTGCGCTATGCTATGATATGATGTGATATGTTATGATATGAAATGATATGCTGCGCTATGATATATGTTATGCTATGATGTGTTATGATATGTTATGATATGGTATGATATGATATGCTAAGATATGCTATGATATGATGCGCTATGCTACGCTATGCTACGTTATGCTATGCCATGCGTGGCTATGTTATGCTATGCTATGCTCTGCTAATGCAGCGCTGCGCTATGCTAAGCTAAGCTAAGCTGAACTAAGCTAAGCTGAGCTAGCCCTCTAGGCAGAGCCTAGGTAGGGAATCGCACCCATGCTAATGCTATGCTATGCTGGGCTATGCTATGATATGCTGTGCTGCGCTATGCTATGCTACGCTTTGCTATGCTATGTTGTGCTCTGCGATGCTAAAGCTCAACGAAGCTAAGATGAAGGTAAGCTAAGCTAGGATAAACCTGAGCTAAGATGAAGCTAAGCTCAGTTAAGATGAAAGATGCTAAACTAAGATGAGAGAAGCAACGCTCAACTAAAGGGACGTGACTGGGGGAACCGCGGGGCGGATACTGGGGGAACCGCCCGGGGGCGCTTTCCACTGCCCGGCCCCTTTAAGCCCAGAGAGTAAGAACCCTTCTAGGCAGAGCCAAGGTAAGGAACAATACCACCCCCCTTTCCACCCTGAACCTATCGGATCCCATCCGCATGCTACGTTCCCAGACTATTGCGCATGCGCTCTGATCCTGGCGGTCAACTAACAGCATGCCAGCCAGACCCGGTTTCGACACACCCTTCATCCCGATCAATGAACGCCACAACCATCAAGGCACTGTCAAGACGTAGCTGCTCAAACATGTCCTTGACCCGGTTTGGTCGTTTCAAACAACTGTTGTCGAAATTCTGCGCGCACGCGCGCGCATGTCGAGAACAGGCAGCGACCATCGCGCGCCCGCCACTCCTGACACGTAAAACCATGCGGGCCACACTCGCGCATCTCCACCACGCAAGACGTGCCCAAAACGTAAAGAAGACCAGCGGCGTGCAATCTATGTGTTGAAATATTACACAATTCTATGAGCGCGCAATGCTTCGCGGTATTCGCCTGCACAATCAACATCATCATCGCCAGCATCACCGCTGGCATCGTCATTATCATTTCCTGCATCAGCAACTGCATCGCCCGCATCATAATCATCATCATCCACATCGCCAGCATCACCCGTAGCACCATCAGCATCATCAACAACATCTCCAACGTTCGATTTTCTAGACACCCCATGCGTGACGTTCGCGAAATCAGATTGGCCACAGGGCGGCCGGGGGCACCGGGGTGCAGCGGCGCTGGATCAGCCGCGCGGCCTCACAGAGCCCCGAAGACAGAGAGTTCTTGACCCGTTCAAAAATTGTTCGCAAGGGCGGGGGGGGAAGGGCGAGAACGCTGCAGATCACTACTATCATAACAGCTGCGCTCGCATGATCTCCGACGCTCATTTCCCCAAACACCCCATGCGTGAAGCATGCGAGGATAGGCCAGGCCCAAGGGCGGCCATGGGCGTCGGGGCGATGCGGCGATGGTTCTGCCGCGCGGCCTCACAGAGCCCCTGAGACAGAAAGCTCTCGACCTGTTCCAACCGTGCCGTCGTTGCCACGCGTCTAACGTGAGCATTGTCCCCTGGGCGCGTTGGCGACACGGCCACCCGACGCCCCATGCAGCTGCAGCGAGCTGAGCAAGCTGTTGGACACGCTGTCGGTGGTCAGACGAGACGTGGGCGAAGGGCAGGGCGGCCGCGCCCAGCTGGAGATAGTGACGCATGGATTCGGCATTCTCCCAGCGCCCACGATACTACAGCAGTCCCAGCTTCTGAAACGGGCGGAAGTGCTGGATGGCCCCGCCTCCTCGCAGCGACTCAACGGTGTAGGGAGATTCGCTGATGCCGATGAGGCCCTGCGGGTAGCTGGACCTCTGGGTCAGCCCGCGCAGCTGTCCCGGGCCCAGCGCCGCCGTCGGCGAGAGGGGCCCAAAGATGCGCCCTATCAAGTACAGCAGCGCAGGATCGTCGATCAGGACGCCGATGTCTTGATGGAGAGCAGCACAAGCACGCCTGTATTGATGTCGCCTCCCAGGTCCCGGGGCAAGACGAGGTGCTGCCCGAGGGCATTCGCGACCTCGCTGAGCCGCAGCAGAGCGTGGAAAGCGAGCAGCAGGCACGCTGATGTCCTGTCCCATCCTTGCGCCTGGGCAGCGACGGCCAGGGCCTGTGGCACCCCGACAGGCATGGGCAGCAGGCCACCGCGGCCCAGGCTGGGCGCAATTGACCGCGGGTCTGGGGATCACAGGGGTAGGAGACAGGGATAGAGGCCTAAGGATGGTGAGGGAGACAACGCGAGACAACGGGAGACACGCTGAGACAACGGGAGACAACGGAAGACGACGGAAGACAAGGGGCGACAACGGGAGGGGATACAACGGGAGACAACGAGAGACAACGGGAGACAACGGGAGACAACGAGGGAGCCAACGTTGACAGCGAGACAAAGGGAGACACCGGGAGACAACGGGAGACAACAAGAGGCACCGGGAGATAACCCCGTTGCTGTAACTCACAGGAGAAGTTGTGCCCCCACAGTGTGCTCCTGGCTGAGGTTGCTCAATTCCTCTTACTTTCAGGGGCATGCACGCTGTTGTCAGCAAGAGACACGAGCAACAACGGGAGACAACAGGAGACAACGGGATGCAATTAGCGCCATCATCCCCACGTTCGCCATCTCATCGTCATCATCGCTGCTGCGCCCTCAACACACTTGTTTTCATCATCGCCAGCGTCATCGGTGCCACCGTGTCTAGCATCATCTTCATCATCACCATCAACACCGTCGGCGTCATCCTACAGTGGTCGTCATCATCATCAGACTCATCAGCGTCATCATCATCAGCAGCATCATCATGAGCAGCAGCATCATGATCATCATCAGCAGTATCATCACCATCATCATCATCATCATCATCATCATCACCATCATCATCATCATCATCATCATCATCATCATCATCATCATCATCATCATCATCATCATCATCATCATCGTCATCATCATCGTCATCATCATCATCATCATCATCATCTTCGGTGTCGTCGTCGCCCTCCTCGTCGGCTCCAACACCATTGCCATCATCATCAACACTCGCACGTCCAAGTCAGCGACCCGTGTAAGAAGGGTCCTCGTGTCATTACGCCAGGTGAGTTCTGCGATCAAGCTGCGGGTGGATGGGTAACATGTCTGCACGAGCACTGGAGGTGGTCGCGCGCCGATGCCAGCAACGTGAACTGAACCACTTATATTCTGTGCTCCGGCGTAGGTCACGCCCGCCGCCCACTCCACCGCGGCCGACCCTCAGAGGGAAGGCAGCCAGCTTCCCCGTAGTGCGTGGTGTGCTGCCAGTCTCCCTACGTTTGTGCTGGCGACGCATTCCAGACGCCGGGCCCCCGTCAGGGCCAGCAGCGGCTGCGGTGACCCCGCGCGGGTACCGCACAGCGCGCGGGTAGGGCGGGCAGCGGTTAAGATCACCCCCCCGAAACCTCGGGCAGCGCCTGCAACAGGTCTGGCACAACGTCGCAGACGACCAGCGCGTACCTCGGCGGCTCAGAAAGGGGCCCTGGAGGGATGGGGCCCCAATTTTGAAAACCTCAGACAGTGAAGGTTCAGCTTCTGATCCACGTCCTGGCCTCATGGCCCCATCAGGCCTGAGCTGATCGAAACGCGAAATCCGATCGGATCGGATCGGAAACAGATCGAATCGCCAGCGAATCGTCCCGAATCGCATCGACATCGGAAACGGCCGGGCCCGGCTCCAGCTGGCCTGGCCGATGCTGGTGAAACGAACCAAATCGAATCGAATCGACATCGGAATCGACATCGGAAACGGCCGGGCCCGGCTCCACCTGGCCTGGCCGATGCTGGTGAAACAAACCAAATCGAATCGAATCGAATCGACATCGGAAACGGCCGGGCCCGGCTCCACCTGGCCTGGCCGATGCTGGTGAAACGAACCGAATCGAATCGAATCGAATCTACATCGCGGCCCCAGCCGGCGCATAGAATCGGATCGCAGGCGGCCTTGACGATGGCGGAGCCGTGGAGAGCTGCTGGCGTTGGACCCTCTGTGCCCCGACTCTGTGCCCCTCTGGCGCCCTGCCTGGTCCCGGGCCCCATGGGCCCTCCCCCAACACCAGCTCCGCACCCTCGGCCGCTCCTCGCCGCTCCCGAGGCGCGGGGCCCGAGGGCCCGCAGACGGCGAGAAAACCTCCGGGCCCAACCTCTGCGCCGCCCGCGTGCCGCCTCCGCTCCTGCGGCCTGGGGATGGGCCCCGAGAGCCCGCAGAAGGCGAAGAAACATCCGGGCCCCACCTCTGACCCGCCTGGGGCACCGCTCCCGCGCAGGCGCCTCCCGCGCCGCCGCCACCGGCGCCTCCATTGGGGCGACGGGCTGTGCGCCGCCGCGCGGCCCGCCAAGGCGCGCGGGCCGAGCCTCCTCTGAGCCTGGACGACGGCAAGGCGACGACGACGACGACGTTGACGACGACGACGACGCCGACGACGACGCCGACGACGACGACGACGACGACGACGACGGCGACGACGGCGACGACGACGGCGACGACGACGACAACAACAGCAACAATAATTTTACGATTGTTCGCTCTTACCTGTTCGAGTGTCATTCAAATCGTGTTTCCCAAACCCTCGATACCCGCCCTCTTCGTCTTCGGTCGTGCCCTGTTTGGGGGGTATATCTTTCATCCGTGCAGGCCGGGCCCTGGCAAGCGGCGGGGCGGCCGCGGACCGTCGGCCTGGCCAGCGGCACCGCTGATCGGCAGCAACCCGACCTTAAGAGGGACGGACAGGGGACCGACCACGACGACGACGACGACGACGAGCGAAAGCAAGAGCGAGAGCGAGAGCGGCAGCGGGGCCACAAAGGGCCACGAGGGGCAACAGCGGGGCCACGAAAGGATATAGGGCCACGACGGGCGCGAACGAGCGGGGGCCACGAAAGGCATACGCAGACGTATATTGGGCCGGAGAGGGCAAGGACGGGCCACTGAGGGCCAGCAGCGGAGCCACGAAGGGCAGCGAGGGGGCCACGAAGGGCGACAGCGGGGCCACGAAGCGCATGCATTTGGGGCCACGAAAGGCGCGAACGGGCGGGGCCACGAAGGGCATACATATATGGGGCCACGAGGAGCAGCGGGGAAGCCACGAAGGGCAGCAACAGGGCCACGAAGGGCAGCGAGGGAGCCACGAACGGCTGCAACGGGGCCACGAAGGGCAGCGAGGGGCCACGAAGGGCTGCAACGGGGCCCAGAAGGGCAGCGAGGGGGCCACGAGCGGCTACAACGTGGCCACGAAGGGCAGCGAGGGGGCCACGAAGGATTGCAACGGGGCCACGAAGGGCAGCGAGAATCCGATTCCTAACTAAGCTGCGAGGGGGTCCTAAGCGTGAGCACGATTCCTGGGTGCCTGAGTGTCGAGAGCGCGGCGCTTGAGTAAAGTGTTGGAACTTCCCACGCAGGAGCGCGACCATTGAGTAAATTGCAAGCAAGTCTCCAGAGAGAGCGCGACTCAAGAATAAAGCGTGAATCGTCCCAAGCGAGAACGCGATTCCTAAGTAAAAGGCGCGA